CCATTTTAAAATACCCTTGGGAGAGCTGGTTTCTCTGATTTTTCTCAAAGACACATTTTAGGCCAAGGTTTTCCACTTACATTTAAATATTTTCTTGTTGACATTGTGACTTTTAACGGCTAGAGTGCTTATTTTTTGCATGTCTTTTTCTTTCATTAAAGGAAGTTTTCACTACCAGAAAGTATACATAAATAATACTGGTGAAAATACATTTGCTCCATCTGGCTGGGGAGGTAGAAGGGGATGGCTTGGGAGGATGCAAATCCTATCCGCCTACCTAGTCCTCCCCAGTCATCACCCTACCCAGGAAGCTTTTGCAGTACCTACTTCTAGTTCACATCTTGGCATCTTTGTTGCCTTGTGTTTTGTATATTCCTAGCCTAGAAGACATGGTAACTACCTCGTGAGACTCACGGCCAGGCACAAAACCTCTACCTAGTGCCTTCCATCACAAACATGGGGCAGGAGCTCTACACATGTCCTCACACCTGAGCTGTGCTAATAGAGCTCACGTCCTATCCAAGGTGGTTGTGCAGGGACAGCAGACAGGAAGCCATGGAGTGGGAAGCTGTTTAGGTTTCCAAGGGCAAGGGAGAGTGATTCCAGGGTGAGTGGTAGGACCGAGGCAGGATATGTGACTATTGTAACTCAACTGAGCCCCAGACAACATTCAGTCAGAGTCTCTAAGTACCTTCTTTAACAAAACAGGAACTGGCTACCTTTCCAAGTTTCTTAAAATTCAGATTTCCAAACACAACGTAAGCATGCTCTAACGCAAACTTCCTCCCATCCCCAAGTCCATGGCCTACAACTATGGTTTTCCTGTTGATGACAGACTTACTCAGATTCCCGTAAGAAAGCGAGGGCTGCCCTGATACCAGGAAAAAACTCTCTCTGCTAGAGAGTTACAGTGTTCTGACTAGAGGCTACAGCCAGCTGGCCCTTGGTGGGAGCATCCTGCCCTCTGCTGGATCTGGCTAGAAAAATGAGTCTGCTTTGCCTTATAAAGAATTAATTAAGGCTGGAAGCATTTAGGTTTATCTGAAAATAAATATTTGCTTGCATGCTGATGAGGTTTTAATTAATCAGGGGATGCTTTCCTTATGTGATGTCTGCGTTCTCAGAGGATTTCCAGGTAGTCAAGACAGATATCTACGTGCATCAAATGCATTCGGCCCTGCATGATAAACACCCTATGCCATCATTCCCCAAGATATGTAAACAACCAAAACTGAATCTCTAATGGTTTTTAAAGTAGTCACATAGTGTTGTGATATGGCAGGAAAAACCCCAGGAGAGCCCGGGTTGATGAACTAATTCCCCGAGGTGCTAACGCTCTCTCGGGCTCAGCCTGTCTGGAATAAGAGGTGGAACTGCGATAAAAGGCTGCCGTGGGGAGCCCCCAAAACTCCTTAGCGTTTTCGTATGCTCAAAACAAGTGTGGTGCTTCATTGCAGCACACCTGCGCCCACGCCGCACAGTTCACACAGGGAGCTGAGGGCTCCATGATAACAACACGTGGAACTGGTGATATCCTGAAATTCAGCTTGGGTAAAACAGATTCAGAGGCTAATAAAAGTCTTAGAGACTAAAATGACTCATCCTAACACGGCACTTGGTATGGATCAGCCACCGCCGACCGTTGTTGTCCTATACAGTCCATACACACATCTCTACTTCTCACTTTTATTTAAAATCGGGGAAATCAGCTCAAGGAATCATCTTTTATAGCAGCCAATCTCTTCCAAGACTGTCCTTTCCCCCTTCTCAGTACTCCTTGGGCTTTCTCTCTGTTCTCTTTTTGACTTTAAACCCAGAAAGAAGTGGCTTCAGTTGGCATTCCCAGTGCCATGGGGCACTTAGCTGTTCCTCACTTTCCAGCCCCAGCCCCACCGGTGTGTTTTCTTTAGTGCCATCGCTATAACAAGAATAGACAGCAGGTTGCCTAGCTCGAGAGCTGCTGGTCACCTTAGGGTGGTGAGCAACTGGCAGTGGTGAGATTAATCCAGTCATTCTTTGATAAAAAGCAACAGATCTGTTTGTAACTTGATTTGTTTGGCTGATGTTGTTGTCTTCATTGGCAGTTCTGCTTAATAAAAGCTTTCTTAGACTCGCACCTGACTACCCAACTGAAGGTTAAGTATGTACAGCTGACCACCTTGCCAGTCTCAGCAAGTGCTATGTTGGCATGTTCTAGAGAGTCCAAGTTCAATGTAGTTTTTACAGTAGTTGTTGAAGACAGAGAAATGATACACTCAGCACATGAAATATGGAGTCCCCAGATAGGTATCTTCTATAAATAAATATACAATAGGCTGTTGATAAGAGAATTAGGGAGGAAATAAGCTGAGGTGGGATTCCCCTATGTATGCTGTGATGGTTACCATTAATGAATAAAGAAACTGTTTTGGACAAGCAAGGCAGAACTTAGCTAGGTAGGGAAACTAAACTGAATGCTGGGAGAAAGAAGGGCAGAGTCAGAGAGAAACCATGTAGTCCCGTCAGAGACAGATGCTGGACAGAACGTTACCTGGTAATCCACAGCCACGTGGCAATACACAGATTAGTGGAGATGGGTTAGTTTAGGATATGAGTTAGCCAGAAATAAGCTAGAATCATTGGCCAAGCAGTGTTTTAAATAATACATTTTCTGTGTGATAATTTTAGGGGCTGAGCAGCTGGGAACCAACAAGAGGCCTCCTTAAACAATAAGTAGAAGGTGTCTTATGATATTTTTTTCTGAAAGCTATCATTTACCAATTCTAATACATGTTTATGCAGAGCACATATTTATGAGACGTAATGTAGGATTATAATATATCTTTGCAATGTTTCATGATCTGATTGGAATGACTGACATATTTATCTATTTATTTATTATTTTTCTGGGTTGGTAACACTCCAAATCCTTTCCATTAAGTGTTTTAAGTGATGCAATCAGATGAGATTGAACAGTATTCCTGCTCTGTTATCAAACGTGAGAAATTACTCCCCTTGAACGACTGAAACCCCGCACCCATTCACCTCCTGCTTCTCCCAGGCTCACTTTAATTTCCAGGCTTTATTACCCACTGATACTTTTTTTTTCCAGATTCATTTGACTATATAAATAAGAATATACTATACTTATCACCTATCTCTGGCTTATTTCCCTCAATATAATGTCCCCTGGTTTTGTCGGTGTCTTTGCAAATGGCAGAGCTTTGTTCTTTTTGTGGCTGTTGATTAACAGTTCATTGTGTGTACACACCACAGTTTCTTTATTCATTCATCTGTTGGTGGCAACCGTGGCTGATTCTGTTTCTTGGCTCCTTGGCATGCTGATTTCATTTCCTTATTTTCTTTGGATATATACCCAGTAGTGGGATTGCTGGGTCATGCGAGAGTTCTATTTCAGGCTTTTCTGAGGAAGTTCCATAGCATTTTCCACAATAGCTCTACAAATTTACATTCCCTCTAACATTGTGGAAGAGTTCCCTTCTCTCATCTTTTTATTTTATTTATTTTTTTATTTTTTTTATTTTTTTTTACTTTCGAGACAGGGTTTCTCTGTAGCTTTTGGTGCCTGTCCCAGAACTAGCTCTTGTAGACCAGCCTGGCCTCGAACTCCCAGAGATCCGCCTGCCTCTGCCTCCCGAGTGCTGGGATTAAAGGCGTGCGCCACCACTGCCCTGCTCCCTCTCTCCTCTTCTTGACCAGCTTTTGTTTTCAATGCCTTTTTGGTTGTCAATTGAACTTCAATTGCACTTTAAGAATGGTAGTTTCTATGTCAACAATGTGTGTGTGTGTGTGTGTGTGTGTGTGTGTGTACGTGTGTGATCTTAAATGACGGATCAATATTTTACTTTCTTGGTATGTTATCTAGTCAGGCAAGTACTTATCAGGGAGAAAAGAGCACTTGTCAATGGTATTACACTGTCTTTTGACTTTTAAAATACATCTAAGTTTCTATCAGAGACCCGCAGCAATCTCTTTGTTTGCTGATAACTGAGCTGTGCTGTTGACTCCCTTAATGCAAGAGAATCCTAGCCTTGTATTGATCAGTGGAAGACATCGGGGAGAATCACTTTTTTTTCAATAGAAGGTCATGTATTCTAAAAAGGAACACCAGCCCCTTTGTCCTACTCATCCCACATAGCCATATACTTTGTGTGCAGTTCATCATCTCAGGAAGATTTAGAAATGGTGTCAGTCATTTTCTATACCTCGATTGCTATTTCGTGACAAAACAGCAGGGAGAGTCCCGAGGACAAAGGCTGGGCTTTCACCAATCGCGTAGGCTCACCTGGTTCAACAGAAATGTTGATTATTTATGTCCACAGCTCAGCATAGCAACCACGACCTTAATTCTTGTCTCCTATAGCAATCCTACAGGCATTGAAAAAAACAAAGACTATCCATTCTAAACCTCTGTTTATGCCTTCTTGAGAGGAAGCATTCCGAATTTGTATTTCTCAGTTTCTATAGTTGTAATGAGATTTACAGACAATTTAAATACTTTTCTCTTGCGCTTGCTCAGCACTCAGCACACTAAGAACATTCTAGAGAATGGAGCACATTTTATTAAACGACTTGACCAAAATAAAATGGAAGTAAGACTAGTAAGTTGTCGTATCTGGATCCTTACAGACCCATGCAGACAAGCAAAACAACCAGGAACTATCTGAAAATCCCCAGGTGTCCATTTACCCTCGGTGCCCTGCACACAGTAGGGGCTCAGTAAATATTGTGAAATAAGGAAGCAACAGTGTGGCCCTTTTAACGAGTTGGCTTGTGGTTGCTATCTTAAGGGCGTATTCAAGTAACAGTTACTTCATGACTACTTAGCCTCACGGGTTAATGTTTACAAAGTGCTTTGAACTTCTTGGAAAAAAAAAAAAAGAATGTTTTGGTTGGCACCGGACCATACTTGCCAAGGTACACAAATTCCTCCCGTTTCCATCTTCCAGCTGCCAGGACTGTGCCCTCCCTCTATGCAAGGCTAGGCTCTCCCATCAATCCGGTCCTTCCTGCCTCCTGTAGACTGCTCGGCACAGGTAGGTTCGACACGGTGGGAATGGAGTAAACTTTTCACAGATTCTTTAAAGACTTGGGGGTGGGGTGGGGCGGAGGAAGTCTGGAGAAGTGGAAATAAGGGTTTTTATTGACACTTCCTAGAGGGATTGGTGTCAAGAGAGGTGCAGGAGCCTGGTCAGCCATGGGAGAAGCTACAGGATGCACACTCTTCCATGAGGCAGCATCAAGCTCAGTCCAGCTGTGCAAACAACAGAGGTGTAGAAACAGTATACGCCGAAGTTGCCTCTGTGGGTTGTAAGTGGATTACACACATGCCTTGACACATTTCCGCATCTTAGTTCTGTTATAAAGTATTCATAAGCTTGATCCCTTTATATATGGGCAAGACTTCTATCTATTATAATTTCTTTCCCTGCAGTTCTCACTTTTCCTGTTTCATGGCTGAAACAGCAGTGTGTAAGTCCGCATATGGTCGGCTAAGGTGGCTGTGGTTTCTTACCTGTTTGCCACCGCCTGCAAACACAGTGTCGTAGGTTTAGGAAGGTGACGGTTACAAAGGTGACATGTCCTTTGGTGGGCAAAGCTATGGTTTCTATGGAGAATGCATGTCCATCGGAGTAAATTCAAACAAAAGAGGTTTTGAGCCCGGAGGTTGCGACAGATTAAGTTGCAGCCAGTGACACACAGTAAAGCTTTCAAAGCAGTGAGCACAGTTGCGGGCTGCAAATAAATAGAATGGCTCCCCGTGGAAGAGCTTGCTTTAAAGGCAGCAACAACGCCTATTTTCTGCATTGAAGCAACTTGTTTTCTACCGCAGACCGTGAGGTTCTCTGTGTGGGTGGAAATTTTCCATAATACATATTTATACCATAACTGCTGTCCATGTGGCACATTTGCTCTCTCGAAACTGTTTCTAGGGACTGGAAATGAATGTCATGTGGGCAAAAACCAACATGGTATTTTGTTAAAGCGACAGACCACCAAAAAAAAAAAAAATGAGGCTTGTTCTGCTTCAAAGAAAAACTCAGGTAAGTCTGTCTGGCTTTAACTGAATGCTACGAAGTTAATTAGAAGCAGGTCTTTAGATTTAAAAAAATATATATAGACAGAAACTTCCTTCTAACTGGGACACATTCATTCTATACCTGAAAAACAAAAACACAGAGAGTGAAATTTGTACTCAGAGGATAATAAGCGGCTTTGGAATTCTAAAAGCTCCCAGTCCACATGAAAGAAAGCCGCAAGAAAAACATCTGCTTGGGAGGGACCCCAGATAAGAATGGCTTTCTCTCCCCCTTGACTCCTCAGTGAGCAGATTCCCCATTTGGACAGGCCTGGGGACTCGCATAAGCAGCACTGAATTTGTTATTTATTTTCTGTCTATTTGTGATGTTAGTCCTCACTGTGAAAGAATAGACGGACTATCCTCGAAGGGAATGAGGTGGGTAGAAGGAGCTAGGGCCAGACTCTTTCCTTTTCTCTCTCTAAGTGTCTTGTGGCATTGCAGGGGGCTGTGAATTCCCATGGATGGAGGAGACCTAGACCTCATTGGTTCCGGCTTTGAGAGCAGGAGGTGATCTCACTGATGTTTGCTCACCACAGTCTTATGGTAAGTTTGAGCGGGAAAAACGGGGACTGAGTCTCAGCACACATGGCTCTAGTTGATTTGAGGGAGAGGAGAAATTGAATACATTTTAATGAAGTATTTCGTATTAAGATAAATAAATTATTGCTGGGATTTTTTTTTTCATTTGTGTGCTTAGTGAGCAAGGTGACTTGCTCTTTGGGGTTTCTTTTCTAAATGTTTTGGATTTCCACGCTTTGCTTGAAGATCTGTTTATATATTTATGAACGTATATACACATATGTATATATAAAATAGCATATGGCCAGTGGATTTGCTGGTGGGTATATCTTGTGTCAGGGGAAATGCTGAGCTTATGACATATAGATAATTTTTTTTATCACAGTCAGAAAGGTTTAATGAATATGGGATTATATGGGATTTTGTCATCACTGCCAGAAGGGCAGCAACGAGAGGCAGGTCTAAAGAGCTGATTAGAAGTCAAACGGAAACTGACTGCACACTGGAACTCAAACATGGTGCTCTGATGATTTAAACAGGCCACTGCAACTAGTGAGAATGTACTCTGTGTGCATATGTGTACATGGACCTATGGATGTGTGTGTGCACATGCGCGCGTGTGTGTGTGTGTGTGTGTGTGTGTGTGTGTATCAGCTCTTTTGGTCCTTTCCACCTGTATCAACTGCAGAGAACAGTCAATTAAACATTTTAATTGACAGGCTATCGCTTTTTGTGGCTGCTACAAGTACAAGCCAGCAAATTCCTTGCTTTTAGATGCTCTCTGTGAGACAGGCCTGACTGAGGTGCTTAGAGCTCAGCCAGGGACAACCGACAGTTAAGTTACCAGCAAAAAAGGTTTACTTTAAGCCAGATACAGGGTTCCCTTAAGCCCTGTTGTGTCTGAGTTACATTTAGGGTTAGACCACCAGGGGTCAGGCCACTGTGTCCAGAGAGCCTTCGTTAAGGACTCTTTCCCGTCTTAGAAGGAAGACACAGCACAATGGATCTCAAACTGATGCATGTAGCCCTCTGGAAAAGTCATGAGGGTCAAAAGCCAATGCTTATGGGTAGATCCTATTCTGGACAGTGGATACGGATAGCCCTGGGGATATAGCTCAGTGCTAGCATGCTGGCCTGCACACTTGAGGTCCTGGGTTAGATCTACACCACCGCAAGCCATGATCTAAATAGGAGACAGATTTCCTCACCAGCACATGTTTTTTCCCCCTAAGAATAATAGTGAGCAACCAAGACAGCACCAGTAGCTGCAATTATAATTGATCCGGCAATGGTATTTCCGTCAATAGTTCAATTGATTTTCCTTGGGAAGATCATTATGAGAGCCACTAAAAGAGAGTGCAGTGAAGAGCTTCCAATTCCGTGATTTGTTCATGTTTACCACTCACTATGTATGGAGATTATTTGTGAAGAGAAACATGGTAAGATAAAGGAAGAGTCCTGGGATCAAGTTAAAGAAGCTAGCAATGCTGTGCCCAGTGTGTGCGGTCTACCAGCTGGCCAACTCCCATGAGGCTGATTCCACGTTACTCTTGGAATCGCAGCTCCTAGAGTAAAACAAACAGCGCTGATATCTCAAGTGCTTTTCTTAAAGACAAAGATGGAATTGGAGGGACTCGTACAATCTGACCACTACCAACAAACTTACACATACAGAACTTGGAAGTCGGTGGGGTACAGTGCCACATTGTCCCAGCTTCTCCTCATCCAGACTTCAGTTTTCTCCTTCAGTTTCCATCTACTCCAGCATGGCAGTACTCAGCATCTTATTTTACATTTTTCCACTGACAGAATAGTTCTTGAACTACTAGCTAGCTATTTTGAGAAATTTTGTTTGAAATATTAATGTTTTTAGTTTTTTCCACAAACAAAAATTTTAACTTAAGTATGTAGTTTCCTTCCTTCCTTCCTTCCTTCCTTCCTTCCTTCCTTTTTTGCTTTCTTTCTTTCTTTATTTTTTTTTTTTTTTTGTTTTTTTTGCAGTAGGGCTTCTCTGTGTAGCTTTGGAGCCTGTTCTGAAACTAGCTCTTGTAGATCAGGTTGATCTTGAATGCCCAGAGATCCAGAGATCCTCCTGTCTCTGTCTTCTGAGTACAGGGATTGAAGGCGTGTGCCACCACCTCCCGGCAAGTATTCAGTTCTTAGCACATTAGCAGTGCTTTTCCATCTCTACGCGTTATTAGTACGTTCTCATTGTCACAATCACTGAAGGTATTTCAGACAAAATGGCTGACAAAAGTGGCCACCGTTTTCAAACCCCTGTCATCTGCTGGGTTCCATTGTGTTAGAAACCCCACTAGAAGGTATTGCTGTGGTTGCTTCCGCATGAATTTAAAGTGAAATACCAAACAGCTGGAAAACATTTCAGCATTTCTACATAAAAAATTTAATGCACCATTAATTTGTTTCAAATTATTTCTAGAGAACTTTCAAATATAATGAAGAGACAGTAAAATAGAAATTCTATCTAGATTTGTCTCTGTATAATTTACAGTGATACCATTTGTTCTCGCCTCATTACTTCTTTAGTAAGAACAAGGCTATGTCAATTATGTCATTCTATGTTCTTAGCTTATAATAATGTTCTCGCAATAGCTTCAAGCTATCACATATGTCTACTCCCTGCATATCTAACCAGACCCCTTACCTAGTAGATACAAAGTTGTGAAGTTCCTAGCTAGCAAATTTCTTCTTGTCACATCGTGCCAAGCAAATTAGAAGCCTGCCACAGGGTTAGATATCATTACGGTTTGCTAGAGTCTTTCTGTTATGGGAATCACATTATTGTATTGATATGAATATATATATACATATATTCATATATATATATGAATATATGTATGTATGTATAAATTATTCTACTCTACCTCAAATTAGAGTCAAAGTTTGAATACACAGCTTTCCTTTTCCATAATCTGTTTCCAATTCTATAGTACATTGCAAATGTGCTATTCGGAGCCCCACTGGTAATCCTGCTCAGGTTATTCATTGATTCAAAATTTCTACTTCATCTTATTGTAAATGCAAACTTAATAGCTAAGGGACTGATTCAGTTTTTACTTGTGATCTTTTCAGTGGAAGAGATGGATATTTCATGTTGTTTCTACTTTTATTGAAGAGGTTACTGAATAGTCAACTTCTCAGGAGCTAAGGTGTTGGAACTAATGTTTTCTTTTTCAATTACTTAAATTTTTCCAGATTTCTCTTTTCCTTTGGCAGATACTTGAGGGTTTTGTTTTTCTATAAAACACAAAAAACACAAACAATTCAGTATTATGAAAGTTTCAATCTCAGTTCAATTTGAAGGTATTTCCTCCAGTATTGCTAGTCAAACAGAGGCTTCTGGGCATCCACTCCTTCTGGGATGCAATTTCCCTTTTCATCTCGTGGGTTTCTACAGTGTGAGGTGACTGGACCAAGGATGACAGGGTAATTATTTGTCCCTCTTATCTAACAATGCAGTTATAGTCTGTCCTCCAGAGAGTATGTCCTGGCGCCCGGTGCCCTCTGAGTAGAAAGAACCTACTTGAGAGTTCTCAGACGCTTCCCTTATATATGGATTGCAAATCGTGCTCCAGTAAGATCTCATTCTTGCTATCATCCCTTGTCATCCTCTTGTTGGGGTCCCGTATGAGCAATCAGCTCTCCTTGGTGAAATTTCTCAAGGTATCACAAGCTTAGCTATTTTCCCGAGTTGCTTGTCTCAAGGACACATGTACATGGGTAGCCCAGGACTGAGCCTTCTCTCTTTTCCAGATCGTTTTCTTTCCTCAGACATGGGGAGAAGGATTGTTCAGGATATTTTAGGGGCAGATGTGAAAGCTAGTGCTGACTCTTCTTTCCTACAGGTTTAAGAATGCTTCTCTTGTTGGCCCATGTACTTGGCTCAGTGGTGAGAGGCAAAGACCTCCGGAGTAGATGGAAAAACTTTAGTAATACTTCCTTTTTCTCCCCACTCAGGCTGCCTTGTTCTTCCCCCTCCCCAGTCTTCTCTTAGATTAGACTAGTAAAGGGGGAGGGGTTGTCACAATGTGGCGTGGAAGTTGAGAGCACATGAGCCTGTCCTTTGGTAAGCTTTGTAGAAGGTGCCTTACTCCAGGTGTTACCAGTTGTCCCTCGTTTTAATCCTGATACTGGGAGTCTATAATTGCCAACTCTGGCAATAGGAAAACTTATACTCAATCATCCATTACGTTTATGAACTTTGGGGGATATTGACTGATGTAAAATTGAAGCTTTAGGATCTGTATAAAGCCCCGTCGAGAGAACGACAGTGCAGAAAGACATGGCTCTGCTCATCTGTACTCTCAGTATGTAGAAACAGAGCCAGGAGGATTGGAATGTTGAGCCATACTTGGGCTTCATAGTGAGAACATCCCCCCTCCCCGATAAAAACAGAAACAAAAAAGAAGGAAAAGATAAGTTACAAGTTTAAATCTATTCCAAGAACCCATAGGACTCAACAGAAAGATTAAAACTTGGTGTCTAAGAGGATTGAAAACGTGTTCCCCAATGGGAGATGAGTGGGCAGTAATCAATACCACACAACTGCAGTTAAAACACAGAGATAACAGTGCACCCTGCCACAGTGGTAGACTCCTCTGTCGTTGGTCCATGCTCAGATAGTGGGCTAGAACAACAAAAGCCTTCACTGATTACTGGTGGCACTGCAGAATGGCACCGTCACTTTGGAAGAGAGACTGGCAGCTTCTTGCAGAGCTAGATAGGGTCTTAGCATAATATCCAGCAATTGTGTTGCTTGATGTTTCTCAAATAAGTTGAAAACTATGCTCCACCCCATGCATGCACACATGCATATATTTAGAGTAATTTTGCTCAGAATTCCCAAAACACAGAAGAAACCACAGCATCCTTCAGCAAGCGAATGGCTAAACATTCGGTGATAGACACAGGCTGGGAAATATTAGTTAGAGCTAAAAGCCACATCTCTTGTTTATTGGGGTGTGAAAAACATTGAGGAGACTTAGAAGCACGTTGCTAGATGA